GAGAGAGAGAGAGAGAGAGAGAGAGAGAGAGAGAGAGAGAGACTACTCAAGGGTTAGAGAGAGAGAGAGAGAGAGAGAGAGAGAGAGAGAGAGAGACAAAAAAAGGGGAGTGTGAATGACAGGTCTGAAGGGTAAGGTGAGTGAAAATCATCTTGTAGTTACTTGTAGGGATCTTTTCAGAAGATTTATTGTGAAGGAAAAACAGTTGCTTAGTAGCTAAGAGCAGGTACATGTAAATTAATGGTCTGCCTTTTATGCATGCTCCTGTGCAATAAATAGATAAATGTTTCAGGCTTCCTTTTTATTAATATTTTCTATGAGAAGTACTTTTAATATTTAACCATTTTCAATTTTTAACTACAGCTCTTTTTATGATTGTTTAATCAATTCTCAAAAAAGAATAGGCCAGTGCTTAGTGTATCAGGTGTATCTTCCTATAAACCAAAATTTAAATGCTATACAAGCCCAAGCATGTTGACTAATGAAGTTATCCTCAAATTATTGCCTTTCTGATTTTCTCTTTGCTTTTAACTATTTGCACAGCTGGAAGGCCTTATAGACATATAAAAATCAGTAGTTTTCTTTAATTCAGCTTATCCAGACATTTAGAATTGCTTAGTAACCAACCCAAAGCATGCTATTTTTTTTAGTCTTACTTTACCCCAAATCCTACATTACTTTAGTACTGTCTTTTTGATTTAGTAGTTTGCTTTGGGGGCATTCATTTTAAAGTTTGCCTTGTTTATTCATTGTGTCTGGGTGTGTGAGGGTCTGTGTGCCACAGGATGCATGTGGAAGTTAGAGGAGAACTTTGTGTGACTGGGTCTCTTTCCACCTTTGTGTGGGTTCTGTGTGTTAAACTCAGGCATGCTCCTACATTGCTGGCAGCAAGCATATTTTCTGCTGAGCTGTCCCTTCTGTCATTGTTAGATATTCTTATGGCTTGAAGTTTGTGAAGGAAAGAAATTCTGAAATAGTTTATGGTTGAACATTAGTTATTTAAACTAAATATATGGATGTCCTCCCAACATACCTTTGGAAGGTAAGTTCTGAAAAACCGTAGGTTTCTTAATCCTTGTATATACTCTTTTTTCTGTACTCCCATGCTAATGAAAAAGTTCAATGAATTGTTTATTTCTAGGCTTTTCTATTTAATATTTTCAGTGTTTTTGAATGTGGTAACTGTAGCTGCCAAACCAAGACTGGTAGAGTGTTTACACTTAGTAGTCAGTTTCTGTTGAAGCTGTTGCTGAGCTATAGGTATTAAGGCATGTATAGAAAACTATGGCCTAATGTGTAATATTAGAGAAAAGTGTTTTATAGGATATTTTATATTAGAAAAGAGCCTTTTTGATAACATCTATTAGAAGAATTTCCCTTTTTCTAGACTCACATTTAATTTTTTTTAATAATCATGTGTTTGTGTCTCTGTATACCAAGTGTGTGGTTTGCTGTACATGGAGGCTGGAAGAGGGAAGATGATTCCTTGGAATTGGAATTAGAGGTGGTTGGAAGCTGCCATGTGGGTTCTGGGAATTATACTTGGAACAACAGCAGCCAGTGCGCGTAACTGCTGAGTCACCTCCCCAGCCCCTAGACGTCCAGCATTTTGCCTGAATTAACAAGATTTTTATATTTAAATTAACAGCTTCTGTGTTCTGTGGTTTATAATATTGTTTTAAATCAGTTGAAACTTTAAGCAACTAGGAAGTTTTGTTATTTTGTTTATTCTTAGGTTTCATCTTGAATGTAATAAAATTTGCTAACCTGAAGACAAAGTTTCTTTAAGAATGTACACTTCATTTACTCTTTCCTTAATACTTGGAAAAAAGGAAGGAAGAGAAATGATTTAAATACACATGGTTGTGGTTAGAATCTCACTTGAAAACAGCATTTGTTTTTTAAAGAAATATATGGCCAGCTGGAGAGATGGCTCAGCAGTTAAGAGCTCTGCTTGCTCTCCCAGAGGTCCTGAGTTCAATTCCCAGCAACTACATGCTGACTCACAACCATCTCTAGTGAAATCTGATGCCCTCTTCTGGCATAAAGTTTCACATGCAGATAGGGTACTTAAATACATAAATATAAATAAATAAATAAATATTTGAAAGGAAATATATGGCCTTTATATGACATCTTATTTATTATTTAATGTAAATGAAATAAAATATGATAAGTAAAATGGTTTTTCATTTATTTACATGAATATTTTTCTTCTGTATAGTGAGTCAAAATTATTATGAGCTATCATCTCATTTATAAAGGCAGGCAATCCTAGATTTGGGTATTCTCTGTTACCTGAGTTCTCCATAGTTTACTTGTTACTCTTTTGACCTTTTAGTAGAGAACAGTACACTGGAAAGCTCCAGACGAGGTCCCATTCCATGAGTTCAACTTACAAAGAAGACAGAAAACATATTGCTTCGAAGATCTTCGTAAGATTGGATTTTACTTCTATTTGTTCTGTGCCTTGAAAAGATCCCATAGATTATTTCATATTGTCAAAGTTCCAATTAGTATTTAAAAGTCTGAAGTGAAAAAATGAAGTGTGAAGGTTTAGGTGGATGTATCACGGTCACATAGTGGGAGGTGATTCTGCTTGTTCTCTGCTGCTGAGCTATGCTGGTCAGCCCATCATTTCTCCTGAGCATCGAAGAGTGATGCCAAACATCCTATTTTTCATTCTTTTTGCTCTTGACTCAGTACATTAATTGAGTGATTAGATCCCACTGATCGTAAAATTAAGTGAATAAATTTATATTGATGAAGGAAATGCTGCTTTTTAAAAATAAACTGTTTGTGTATTCAGATACAAATGCCTCTTGAATCAGTATGCTTACCATAGACTGATTTGAGCAAGCTGTGAAAAGGGAGAAAGTGTTCTTATGTGTAGTCATTATTACCTAATGCTGACTGTCTTGGGTTATGTGCCTTTGAGTTTCAAGGAAGATAATGAGTTCACAAATAAGGCATACAAAGGTCAGGAGCCACCAGTAAAAGTCACAAATTATTAAAGGTAGACATAATAGAAGCCCCTAACATTTTGTTGAACAGAGACTAGGGGAAATCAGCAGAATGTGCAGAACAGTCTTCACTACTGTGTTCAGTGTAAGTGTCATGGTAGGTAGGTCCACTCAGTGCTTAACAGGGAGGTGCTCCAAAAGCAGAAGCATGCTCTGGCAACAGAGTCTATCCCAGGAGACAGCGTCATGTCTGTAAAACAGTTGTTACTTTATGCGGCTGGACCTAGAGCTTTAAGATCTTTGGTTGTTTCTCTGCATAGCTCCTAGGCTGGCTTTAATTGATTAGTTTTAATTTGGTTGATAAATGTGTAATACTGTGAATTATAAAGGAATAGAGTAAAGAGTCACATAATTGCATTTTCATGATGGGAGTTTCAAGTTTATTTCTCTTTTTATACAGTGTATGAGTGAGAATTAATTTAAGAACAAAGAGCTTCTTGGACATCAACACAAAATTTCCCTGTTAACTAATTTTAAGGAGAGTAAATAATTCATCTTTTCAAGTTCCCTCCCTGCTTTCAAGCTACTGTGGTACACCACAATTAAAACTTTTTGTACAAGAAACCTAAAGAAAGGAGTCTGGATTAATTTTCAAATATTCTTTTGATTTTTTTTGAAATCTAGTTACTTTGTGAATATATTGTCAAGGCATCTCATTGCCTTAAGCATCTGTAATAAACAGTCATTAGTTAGAGTTGAGACTAGCTTATTTGTAACAACCCTGTCCTCTGTGGCCAATACCACATCACCAAATAAGTACATAAAATGCTCATTAATTTGAATGACTTCTATTTTGTCTTGTTTTCTTTTCTTCCTCTTATTCCCCCATTTCCTTCCTCCTTTCTCCTTTGTTTCTTCTTTTACTTATTTCCTCCTTTTTCCTTACCTTGTTTTATTTTGTATTTCAGGAAGCTCATTCAAAAGAGTCTCCTGTTTCTTTGGATGACAGTGACATTGAAGCTCGCCTGAATAGTTGGAATCTTGGGGTAAAACAAATATTTGTTTTATATGCATATCAATGTGGCAGAGTCATATTGTGAATAGAAAACAATAGAAAACATCTTAACTCATTTAATTCTATTCAGTGAACATCAGTTCACTGTTACTGTTTTGGCCCCGAAAGAATTTTAAGTAAGAGAATGTTGCAAAGAAATGTAAAATGTCCTTGGCCAACTTTCTTGTTGATGAAATAAGTCAGGCACATGAAATAGCTAAATAATAATTGAAGATGATATATCACAAAAAATACCAAACTAAATTATATGCAAAGTTGAGTAGGTTTGCCTGTCACTTAACAGCAGTGCCACATCCTACAGTCTATGAAGTCATCAGGTGATTTCCTTGCTGTGTGTATACAAACCTAGATTGTGTAGATTAACCACTGACTTTGTGGAGAGGTGTGGTAAAGCAAGATGTATGAGGGCACTGCCAGCTTAATAGGACAACTTAAAAAATCTTCCTTGTTTCTTTCTTTCCTTCCTTTTTTTGTAAAGAGGTGAATGAAAAAGTGTGATGTCTATGATACCACTCCGGTGATAGGAACTTTTCAGTGCTATAGTAATATGGAAGCATCATTTTACAAGTGCTTCATCGTGCATGATATTGTTATGTGGCTTGTGAGTGTGCTATGTATGGTAGAGGGGAAAGAAGGGAATGAGAACATGAAGAAAGTCACTCAGATTAAAAAAGAAGAAGAAAAACTCAAGGAAACTTTGTGAATGAGTATCCATGATGGACAGAGATTTTCATGTATAATTGTCACCATGGACATAGGTTTCTTTTCCAGGCTCTTGGTTTAGTAGATAAAAGAATTTAAGAACTGTCCCAGGAGGAACCTGAGGATGATTAATTGGAGTCTAAGAGGGAGAAGGAGCCCTGAATGACAGGTGGGGCAGGCTGGAGATCTTGGCAGCTGCCATAGGTAAGGAGTGGGGAGAGCTCTGCTACTAGACATCAGGAAGGGGACAGGTCTGCAGTGATAGTCTGTGAGAGCTGCCCTGTAGTACCCAGGAGCAGCTCTTTTTAAGGAGCCAGAGGAGGTGTAGATACTGGCATTTATGTGCCCCAGATGGTACCTGTGGAGCAGATGACTTCAGGAGGGCCATCTGCCTGATGGCTCTTCTCATAAGGGTGGAAGTGTTTGCATAGGTGGACAGGAGAAATTTATATCCATGTGAAAAAGATTTGTTAGTGTAAGTGAACCAAACTGGTTGTATGGGATTGTTTCTAGTTACTATTTTCTAGGGATTGTGTGGTTAGTGTCAATAGGCTGGAATGTAGTAGGTTTTAAATTGAGAATTTCACTGTTTTCATTTGCTCTTTGAGACAGTGTCTCATCATGTAGCCTTGGGTGGCCTAGAACTCACTGTGTAGATCTCAAACTCGTAGGTAATCTTTCTGTCTCTGCACATCGAGTGTTGAGATAAAGGTGTGCTCTTCCACACTGGCTGGGAAGCTTCCCTTTTGGATTTCAGGTTATAATGAGACCTGGAGGTTTTTTCTCTCCCTTCATATTCTATTTCATAGGCACTGTTCATTTGCTCTGAAGACATTAAAAAGGGTTTCAAATGATTTTCATTTTGCTTTTGCCACTTAAGAATTTATATACCCGCACTGTAAGAATAAAAAAGAATTTAAAAATTTAAAGATACGAAAATCAGAGGAATAAAGTTGTCTCAAAATGTTAACATGAGAATAACATTGTCATACAGGCAAGGCCCTGAAATCTATCTGAAAATCTAAAATCTAAATGCTCTCCAAGTGGAATCTGTGAGCATCATTGGCACTCAGAATGTTTAAGAATTTAGAACATTTTGATTTTTTGATTTTTGGATTAGGTGTACTCTATTGGTAAAGTTTATGCAAGTATTTCAAATTTGAAACACTACTGATTCTGTACACATCACTAAGAGATATTCGGCCTAACTATATCTTTCTTTTCTTCTACATGACTTTATAACATTCAAAATTTAAATAAAATTAGAACATATTATAAATTCTGTATGACTTACAGCTTTGAGTTTTATCTATAATCATTAATTTTTCTTTTGCATATGTAGTCTAAAGTTGAAGTAGTCTCTGCTTTTACTGGACAGCCAAGTTGCTCTCAGTTTGTTGCTAATATGAGTTCTTGACCAGAGTTACTGTATTCATATTTTGTTTCTTAGGTTACACTAAAGCTTGGGTACCATTCAGAAGGTTTGTGCCAGTTTCTACCAGCCATCAAGTTATCCATTTCTCACTCATCCTAGTCTCTCATAAAATGCTTTATGCAAAGTTTGCTAATGACAATAGGAAGGCTATTCTACATGTGAGTAGACACAAGGAAAGCAGACTAATTACCCATTGTGTTGAGAGCACAGTGTATGTTAGTGTGGCTGCAGTTGAATGGGAAGGGCAGGAAGGAAAAGCTGTGGAAGGGTAAAGGATGCTCAGAGACTGGCCACACTGGGACATGGAATATTGGTTTGGTCAGTTAGTTGACTGTCAGGTAGAGGAACTTATTTTAAAACAAACTTTTATTTTAGATTGGTGGGGTTCCAAAAGATGGTTAAAATTAATTGTGGAATTAAGGGCTTGGGGCGCATGAAATTCAAAGACTGCAGGCATCTTTTGGAAGTGTTGGCAAGATGCAAGAGCAGCTCTAGTTTTCAGAGACAGCAGGGAGTGGGGCTACTGGGGATGGAGAGATGAGAGTGTCTGTCCTGGGTGGACAGTTAGAAGCACAGAATCTAGATGTGAAGTGAAAATAACGTGAATCTCCTATCCATTGGGAATGTGCTAGTCACAGAGAGAAGAGAAGCAGAACTGTTGGGCAGGAGGGTGGTAAGCCCAAAGGAAACATTTTGTGTTTGAAGGCACAGGGGATATTGCTGGTGGAAGGAAGCTCTGTTGCCAGCATGGGAGCACAGGAAACCCCACAGAAGGACAGATGGCCTCTGCCAGAGAGCAGCATCAAAGAAGAAATGAACCCTGGTGCTTTTCTTTTACACTTGCCTTTGCCCTGAGCCGTCTGGAGCTTTGCATGCACATTTCTTAGTATCTTTTTTTGGTGTGTGATTATTTAACTGTTCAGGGAATTACATCTTTCACATAAGAAAAAAAATTAAAAAATATCTAAAATATTTTGATGTAATACTTTAAAACTAGTCTTGCTTGGGAATTTGTTTTACCATTTTGTTATTCAACAGAATTTTAAATTATATAAAATGGAAAGGCTTTACATTCTTATAGACTTATAATGCATGTCCATTAACCAGGCTAACCTGTATCTCTTGATCAGGGTGGAATAAACTATTCAGTTAATAGAAAGCTTGGGGTTTGTTTTCATTTCACTTCAGTTTCATCTATCCGAATAGTTTTGTTCTCTGAAGGAGCAGCTAGCAGCTAGAGTTGATCTGTGCTATGAGGTAAAGCTACTTTCTTGACATTGCTGGCACCATTGTCAGTGCCTCCTTTCCGGAGTTGATGTTCTAGAATTTGTATTTTCTAGAATTTGTTAAATACATTTTTTTTCTCAAAATATACTTTCTTTTTTCAGGAATATGTTAATTTTTCCATTATATACTTCAAGTAGAGATTTTTAAAAAGTAGTAATGAGAGTTTTATCTCTCATTTTTTAAATATTTCACTTTTCAACCATTAGTGTTTTGCAGTCTTGCTTGTGGTTGTGATTGCTTAGTTCTTCCTTTATTATTATCTAGTGTAATGCTTCTATAACCTTATTGTAAGTTCTTGACATTTTTTTCTTCTGCCTGGTCAGTGCTTTGGTGGTATTCTCCATGGTGTTTTGTCTGATTTTATATTGACCTTTTTATCTCTATGTTTTCCTTTCAGGGTTCGTATCTACTCTGATTTCTTGTCCATGCTGTTAACTTTTATGCCCAGATCTTTTTCTCCCTTTAGTACTTCATCTCTGTTTATTTGAGTACTCCTCAAGGTTGTTACTCAGTCTTCAAATTAGGTTTGAATTCTCAAGCATTCCATCCATTTCAACATCTTTGGAGCTAGTTATTAACAACCTGTGAACTTCTAGTGGAATCAGATTCCTTGCTTTTCATATGACTTACACTCTGAGTTTCTACTTGCACATCTGTGGGGGTGGGTAGCCCTTCTAGATTTAATTAAAGGTCTTATTAATGAGCACGTTTTTAGTTCCCAGTACCACTCAGAGAGGAGAAAGCAAACTGCAATCATAGCAACAGCATCCAAATAAAACAAGTATAGAAATACAATTAAAGTCTGAAAAAGCAAGCTGCTTCATCATTGCAGGTGGTTATGAGCTGCTGTATGGGTGCTGGGAATTGAACCTAGGTCCTCTGGAAGAGCAGCTAGTGCTCTTAATTGCTGAACTATTTCTTAGCTCCAGTAGATACTTTCTTAAGGGCTTCTAGAATGTGTCTATGAATTTTTTTCTATAAGTGGAGTAACTTTAACAACCAATGGCCGTTATTATATAAAACAAGTTAGCAGGTCTTCTCATCCCTTTGCCTGTTTTTTTTTATGGCTAGAAGTGCATGGGAAAATTACTATTCTTGCAGAATTAAAAACTTCCACTACATGAAGATTTTGAATTGCAGCACCAAACTCATGGTTATTACTGTTTGTTTAAAAGAAAAAAAATAACTCTTTGTAGGAAGATCATTTTTATTTTAAAATATATTAGTTACCGTTACATTGGGATTGAACTGATAATATTTGAGACCATTAATTCAGATTTTTGTTGTCTTTCCCCTGTTTTCTCCCATTTCTTTCAGGCTTTCTCTTCTTTGTCCTCTGTGTACCCTCCCTCCAGTAGTCTCAATGAAGGGACCGAGAAAAACATGCCTTGCATTGGTTCATAGAGTGCCTTGAGCTGGGATAGTGTTCACTGAGAACCACATCAGTTCAGCTGCTTCATACAGTTTTATTTGGACAGTCTGATATTTTTTCATTTATGTTAGAGACTTATTGTCATCTTATGCACTAATCCTGGGGAGAAACCAAG